TCCCTACCTTTGCATTACAGAAATGGCATCAGATATTCCTGGGTCGGTGGCCTTGCCGGTGGCACCAATGGCAAGCGGACAAGTGAGGATGGCAGGATCCATGCCTTCCAGAGGAGGAAAGCGCCGCTCTGGGTAAGCCATTTCGTCTTTTTTTCAGGTCTGAAACTGGAAACGACTGGTATTGAAAAACTGGGATGTACCTGTATGTGTATATTATGTAATGTTTATGCATGTAAGGTACAGTCTGGCATTAGTCACTGAGGTTTTGTTTTTCTCTTCAATGTGTCTGCTCTTCCTGCAAGATCAAACTTGCTGATAAGTGTACTGTTTGTTGTTTTGCATGCTTCAAAAGACTTTCAGGTTTGGCAGAGCATCCAGAAACGGGGTTTGCATCCCATGGCTGTTGTACGTGTAATGAATGCATATTGCCTACATCTGTTTAATCTCAAAAGGATGATGTGAATGAAGGTAGTGAGATGTGTTCTTACTTGTAGACTTAATCCAACTTCATCGGAAGGTTTGAATTTCTCACATAGAGGCCTGTTAAAAGTGTTTTCTTTATAGACCCAGGTACAGAAATAGCAGAAGCCGAGACTGTGGTCTGTGATGTTCTAGGTCTCGTTGGAAATGCAGCATAGTCTGCCTCTGGGAGAAAGGGCCTGAACCAGGTTCAGCCCTTGCACTAACTTGAGGACTCTGCTAAAGAAGGAAATTTGATTTATCCAACTTCAGAGGTCGGCGTGGTGCAGGGATAGTTTTTCTACATCACGTTGCTCTGTGGCAGTCATACTAATCCTCTGTGTTAGAAGAAATGTGTAGCAAGAGCTGCAGAAGGGCAGAAAACTACTCCCTAATATTAACAAACCCCACTGTTTTTATCAAAGTTTGATCACAAATAATGTTCTTTAGGTGATGCTTTCTTGGAGATGTCTGATCTGAGAGGGCCTGCAAAAGGGATTGATTATTCTTGTATTTAGCCCTAAGTAAGACAGTGGTAGAGCTTAACAGAATTGATAGCAAAATCTTAACTGACAGGCACCTAAGGAGAAGACATCATTCCCTGTCAGAGCTACTCCAGGGATTGTTCTCCAAGGTACGTTGCCAGTTTTGGGTGTCTGCTCAAATAACGGTGCTGGAGTCTCAGTCCTGGAATGGAGATGGGAGAGGGTGGACCTCACCTGGGCGCGGGGCTAAGTCGGTGTGACGTGAACACTCAGGATGGTTGGTCCAAGGGGGTTCCTTTGGACAATACAGTTGGGAGGTTTATCCCGCTGAGCTAACTGTGTGACATCGGTCTGAGAAACTCCTGAGAGCTGTTTTTGACAGGCATCACATTTTTATTTTGAAACAGTTCAGTGAAAAAGCTTTTTCAAACAGAGGAAACAAAGCACTAGCATCTTTTCTTTGCTACATATCATATATAAGCTACTGTACTATTGAGTTGCAGGATAGTTGATCTCTTTTTTGATCATAAACCATGTACACTGCGAACACCAGCTTGCAAATTACTGTTACCAGGGGTTGATGCTGCTGACTCTGAAATCTTCCGATTACATTAAATACGGACTTGATAGTAATTGCCAGCTATGCTTTAACTGTTGCATTCTAAGTGTCATCATCTATTTGTGAGAAAGTGGAGTGGGAGGGGGAAGGAACATAAAATCAAATTATTTAAAATGTATTTAACATGCAAACTCAGTAAGTTTGCACGGGTTTGCTGTTATACCCAGACGATGGTATTTTAAGTGTCACCATAGCTCTGAACTCACAGCCCTTCTCCAGCCCTGAGCTGAGGGGGCATTGTGGTGTGTTTTTTGTTCAGTGTGTATGTATTCAGACCTTGAGGGAAAGAATGCCTGCTGTGTCTAATTCCTCCTAGCTTCTCTTTGAACAAAGTTACAACTAACACTTGGTCCTTTCATTACTGTCCTGGTGATACATCTTTGTACACCTAAATCCTTGGGCATTTTAGAAATGAACACTTTGTGTCAAACATAAAGCGATGTAGCTAGTGAACACAGTCATCTTTTCCAGCTTCGGTTATCTCTGAAAATTGTTTCTTTTCTCATAATTGCTGAGGCAAGCTGGCAGAATAATTGCTGCATGGACTTGAATGTAGATCAGTTTAAACTCATTGGCTATCCAGGCGGTGTTTCTGCCGTGCTGGCATTCAGCTTCACTGGCAGCTCGGAAAAAATATTTTTCCTTTCTATAAAATATACCAAATACTTTGTAGGAAAAAAAATGACAGCATAAGATAACGCACTGCTCTGGTCAATGACTGCCTTAGATTAATGTAACATTCGTTACTTACTTAACGTGTTTTTTCTTTAGCTTTTACTGTCTTAGAGGGTATGGGGCTTTTTCACCTTCCTAGCTTGTACTTGGGGAGGGACGGTGGGGTGTTTGCTTGGTTGATGTACAGTTGCATTGCTTTTGTTTCAGCTCAGCGTAGAGCCTTGTCTTTTCTCTGACCCAGAACGGTGAGATCTGGGGATATATGGGGAGGAAGAGACCTCAGCCTCCCAGTCTCCCTCCCCAGTTGTACCCCCCGATATTGTGCTGAACAAAAGGCTGTAGTGCAGATCCCCAGCTGCCTCTCAGCTGCGTCGGATCATTCCTGCCTGCCCCCTTCCCACGCTGTATAATCATGGCAAGCCATCTCTTGACATTTTTTGGGAGTTTTACATAATAATTTTGTCACAATGTTCAAATCCTCTCCTATCCCAGTTTTGTAGCCTGTGAAGGACCGTCTTGCTGGAGGTTTTTCTTCTGTATGAAAATGTTTCTAATTAAAAATAAATAATTGTTAAAAATATTTTTGTCACGGTGTTTATGGTACCCACACATCTTTTGAGGAAAATACATTTTAATAAGTACCTCACACATCAGGCCTTTTCATGATTGACATGAACAGCAAGAAAGAAGAAAACAAGATTTATGCTCTCTCTTCAAAACAAAAGAGCCTAGTACAGCGGGTTTTTTTAAAGTTTCTCTTTAATGGGAAGATAAATGAAGATAAAAGATACTGTTTCTGAAACTTCTGAGATTATGTCATTTGTCTTCTTAGAGGCTGCTTCTGCTGTTTTGCTAATGTGCACTGTATTGTATCTGAACAGAAGATCTTATCTGTCAGGGTACCAGGAGTTTGTTGAAATGTTATTTTTATGTGTTCTGCTAAAGGTTACAACTGGTTCCCTCTCTTGCATTCTGCCTTGCTGTAAAGCAGGCGTGGTGCTTCAGGCAGGACACTGGGATCAATGGCTTTATATCTGGGACGATTTTTCAGGTTTTGAAAGGGGTTTTTTTCATTTTGCACAGTGAAACATGAAATTAGGAAATGTGTTTATTAACAGAGGTGGGACAGAGATACATTTGCTGTTACATTTTTACAAGTATTAACAGTTTTATTGAACTTTATCTTCAATTTCTTATTTTTTTTATATTCTTGCATTTGGAATAAAGTCAAGGTTTTTAGGTAGTTTAGCAAAGCAAAGGTTAAAGGTTGAGTCTGCTATAGTCTGGTATTGCACCCTAGGCACTTGGATTCTGCCGTGGTGAGCCCACTATAAATGTGGTAGGTATTACCTATGGACATTAACCCATGAAGATCTTAGGAGAAGCTGATATCCACCTGTCTAGCTAAATAGGTGTGTTAGTCCTTTGGAAGTAGGTATTCAGCATGGGCAGCAGCAGCAAGCTTTAAACTGTCATCAGCTTCTCTGCTATTCTCTGCATTGTATTCCAGTGATAATAAAGGAGACTAAATGCAGTAGAGCTAATATTTGAATTTTGGAGGAAAATCCATCTCTTGGCACTCGGCCGAACTATTTGGCTGGAAGCTAAGAAAAGCTCCAAGGCGTGGTATTGGAGGGGATGGAAAGAAGCTACAAAATGAATCCATCCCGAATTAAAGCGTGGTCTTACTAAATCCCTGAAGAAAAGGCTTTCCCCCATAGGCATATAGATTTTCTGCAGTTTGAAACTGGAGGTTTCTCTCAGTTGTGATTCAGTTGGCTTAGCTGCGGGCCGGTGGCACAACCCGGGTGCTGGCCGCTGGAGGTCGGTGGCGTTCTGTGCGTGGCAGCTGAGGGGTTACCCGCTCGGGTGGTAATTAATTGAGCAAAACTGTAATGCATAGTGAAAAGGATGATTGCCTCAAACGTAACCAAATGAAATACAGATCTTTTCTTAAGACTCTGGGGAAAATGGTTTTCCCTCTGCTTCCTCCAGAAATGAATAATCACTATTAGCATCTGGAAAATATTATTATGACTTTTTTACTATCGTGTCCAATTCCTGTGCTTATTCGCTGCCCTTGTCCTGATTGTACGTAGATTCCTGTGACTCAGGCACATCTTTTATAGACCAGTCTGTCTTGGTTATCAAAGTTAGGAATGAAAGCAGTATTGTCTGACTGGCACTCGTATGTCTCTGCGCTGATGTAGGTTTAGAGGGCATTTTAACATCATTGTTCCCACACTCTGAATGTACAAATCTTAATTGCTAGGAATTTCTTTTAATACTGAGATAAATATTATTGTCATTTTGCAGGGCTTTTGCCTTTAATGTACCTGTTGTTAATATGAAGAGTGTTAGAGATGTGGAATATGTGATTCTATAAAGTTTTCTTACACCGAAGTGTTAGAAAGCTTAGAGTGTTAAAGAAACCTGACAAAATTGTTTGCAAAACAGAACTGTGATTTCCTATCTACATGAATTACAGTTAAGAGGCTGATCAAGGTCTGTATATCATACTAATATATATTCGTATTAAAATACATATACTAATACGATAATTGCATAATTTTATAATTTTTTATCAGTTTAGTTCTTAGTCTGCCTTAATTGGCAATCCCTTATAATTGGGATATCTATTTGTCCACCTATTTTTTTAAGGTATTAAAAAAATGTATGAAATGCTTTGGAAATCATACTATTGCATAACTTAGTAATGACAATACCAACGGGAAGGATACAATCACACTGCCTAACATGGGGAAGTAGTTAAGGTGGCTTATTTAGGAAGTTAATCTTCCTAGTCTCCCTGTGTAAGAAGTGAAGAAGGGAGTTCCTGCTTTTTGTGGCTCCCTGGAGGAGCCTAACTGGAGGGCTGGGATATGGCCCAAGGAAGAGCTGATCTCTTCCTCTGACTTAAGAAGAAAGTCGGGGACATAAACCAGGTAAGTTAGGTGCACAGGAGACCCATAGGTGATTTTAGTAGTGACCACAGGAAAACCACAAAGTAGTTGCTGTCTGCAAGCCAATAATTTGTGTAAAATGATTGGGAATACAGGGCAAGTCTAAAGAATGTGCCACAGTTACAATCAGTAGCAGTGGCAGAGATAATCCTCTTAGCAGGGAGGCCAGGAGTTTGTTCTGCTCTACCGCTAACATGCTTTCTTTAGACTGGGGCAAACATGGTGGCCTGGCATTTATTATGTGTACAGTTTTAGAACTTTATTTTCTTTAGCCTTAATTTCAACCCTTTAACGTACTCCCCACTGGTTTCTGTAAAGTTCTGTCAGGCCTAAGAGATACTACTGACCGTCTTGCAAGAACCACATTTGTTTAATACTGTCTTTCATTTGTCAGTTTTAACAGTGCAGATTTCTGTGGCGCAGAGCAGCGATTACTTTATTTTTTTAAAAACCACTTCCATTCTCTGTATTCCTGGCAGCTGATGAGCTACTTTTAGGGGGTCGGGAGAATGTGAGCAAGACTGGAACCTACAGCCATTAACACCTCTGTACAAAATATAAATCAAGCAAGGTTGAGAACCACTGACTTGAATGTTCATGTCACCATTGCCAGCGTCATGCTTACTGATTTGGAAATCTTGCTTTTACAGAATGGACTTCGATGATGAAGATGGGGAGGGGCCCAGCAAATTTTCCAGGTGAGCATTTACAAAGAGTTGGCCAAATTGCTGATTTCTTTCGGTGGAGAAAGACAGCTATCTCACTGCTGATGTTTTGAAGTCAGTATGAATATGGGCTGAAGAACTTGCCAACAACTTGACCTAAATTCTAGTTACCGTTTTTATCGGCTTCCTCTGCAAATCAGGCATCCTGGCAGAAGTCTGCCTAATGTAGTTATTGGCTTGCAGAACTGAGTGTGTGTGTGTGCCATGATTTCGCTCTGCAGCTATGTCAAATGAGAAAAGTTGTGATTTTTAGCTTATTATTTCAACTGCTGTAGATGAACTTTGTTTCTTTGACATTGCTGAAGTTGTCTTTCTGCCACTGAAAATGGATTTTATTTTGAATTTATTTCAGATGTTAACTGCTTGTTAAGACAATATGACAGATCCTAGAGGTGTGGATTGTTTTTTTTAAGATTAAAACTCATTATGTACAATTAGGTGTGACTGCATAGTAAAAATTGCCAAAATAAATGATAATTAATGTGGAATATTCTAGGCTAGAAATAAAAACAAACATTAAAGCATCATTTCCATTTTTTCACTTTTCCTTTTTTTTGGTCATACTCCTTGCATTTTTTCATTAGAAACCAAGCAGCTGCAGTGAGGGGTAGATACTTGGAGGCCTACAGATAACTGCTGATGATCCAAATTATAACTGCAGCTCTGTAGCAGCAGCTGTGTTCAAACACAGCCATCACCATAGGGCTTTAACGATATCTTCCTAGTCAGTCTGAAAGAGAAGTACGCTGAAAACGTGGCGTAACACTGTATCAGAACCCACGGGAGAAGACTGGCGGCACCCCTGTTTAGCTAATGTCATTTACAGAAAGGATATTCCAGTCTCTGGTGTTAAAACTGGTGATCTGAGGGCTAGTCCTACTGTTTGATAGAAGGTACATGTTAAGGGAACAAGATTTGGGATGACTGCGACCTGAGTTGTGCCTGAACAAGTGTCAGGCTTTCTAGGCACAGTGGTGCACGTGTGTTGGTCTGTCTCCATCCTGGCTTCAGCCTTTCCAAGTTTGATGGTGGGGAGAGCCAATAGTTCCCTTATTTTTATTGGAGAAGTATGCTGTGCTGTGCTGTGCTTAGACTCAGTTGATTTCAGATGTCAGATCAAAATCTGATATTTGAATCTTAAATGCTGTAAAAAGCCCCAGATTTTTCTGCTTTTAGAGAGTACAGAAAAACAGTGCAGAGACGCCCAGGGCCATGTTCAGACATCCTCTTCGTTTTCTCCTCCTGTTAGGACTTCTCCCTTCTCCAGATTGCTCACATGACTGATTCCTAGCTTGTCTCAGTCAAAATTATTTGGCTAGCAAAGGACTGCTGTTTAAAAAGCCAGCCCAGCTGGCTGTGAGTGAAGTGCCTCAAGAAGCATGTGTGCAGAGAGGTCAGCCGGGAGGGAGAAAACGGTAGCTGGGGGCAATAACATCTTCAGCCCAGGCAACCAGAGGAGGCTGAGTAGACAAGCCTCATGCTAGCAGAAGCAGAGGAGGTAGTGGTGTTAGTACGTACTCCACGTGAGCTAACACGCCTTGCTTCTCAGGGACTTCCAGGCCAGCTCAGGTATCTGCATGGCATCTCATGGTCACATGGAGGCATATGCATGCACTTCTCACCTAACGGCATGGTGCCACTCCTCGCTGAATCTGTCTTTTTGTTGAAAATATGTTGGACTCCGTCTGTTCTCTGGGCAGGGTCAAGGGGAAGGAAGCGGCATTTTCACTTGAATGTTTTGAGGGGGCTGCTGTTAAGGCAACATAAAAAGAAATACAGCTCCTGTGTCACTTAAGCTTTCTCTTCAGAGTTTGAATGAGTCTTACTGGGGAAGGAAAGTACGGAGCCTCACAGAGGAACTTGCAAGGCTGGGGTACTTCAAATCAGTTTTAATTCTTCTGAGAAGAAAAAAAGGAAAAAGTTAATTATTAGTTTTTTAGAAGAAAAAAAGATGCTTAATTATGCTGTATTACCTTGTTAGCTAATACATGGAAGCTTCATAGATGGCTTCGTAGGCTTTGCTGTAATAAATGACAAAATTTTGGAAAAGCTAATTCTAATACAAAATGGCAGTAATATTCTTCAATTCTAGAAAAGCCATTAGCCTTATTTTTCTGTTTTTGAAAACCTACGTTTTCTGTTTTGGAACAAGCATTTTGGGTTCTCCAGAAGTAAAGGTCTTTTTCAAAAAGTGTGTCTTTTTGTAACTGTTCTAGCAAAATCTGGTTTCAGAGGATTAGTATGTTTTTAGGAAAGGGAAAGGAGGAGCAGTATGTCATTATTTAGCAAAATGTCACGTTGCTGCCTGTCTCTGGGACAACATGTGTGAAATAAGGTTTAATTCCATCGGGCAGAAGTCCCTTTGATCAGGTTTTCCTCCACAGAGTTGCTGCCCATACACTGCACATACCTGTGTGGGCATTTAGCTTCTGTTGATGAGTAGGAATGAAGTACCTGTTTACTTGTAGGGATTCAGGTCAGTTTTAATTTCACTTCTGTTTACCCAGCAGTTCCACCTGCCCGCCTGACTTTTGCCAGTCTTCCCAACAGACAGTACAGTGTCTGTCCCTGCTAGAGCGGTTTTCTGAAGGTGTCCTTACATAATGCGTTGCACTTCAGCGTGTGTCTCTGCCCTCCCATGTTATCTGTAGACCATCAGTGCCCTCTGCTGAATGGAGTCAGTTGTGGTTGCAATCTGGAAAAGATGCGGCTCTGTCCCTTCCAACACAGCAATGAATATTTCATGGGCTGCTGTCAAGAAAAGCTCAGCAGTGTTTTCTGTAATGGTGCTGGTTGTTAAGTTTCCCAAGCAGTGAGTGTATGTCAAAGTGTTTGCATAAATCCACCGAAATGTGTCTCCGACTTTTTTAAATATACAAATGAGGCTTTGGAATCGGCATGGCTTGGAAGTTTTGTCAGACTCTACTTTTTCTTTGCTTCATCATTCTCACGTCCTCATTTTTCTTGCTGTTACTTGTAGTAGTTCGCAGTTGTGAACCTCTCTGCTTTCTGTTGTGTGTTGACTACCATGCAATGCATAACCCTTGTGAATTTACTTTTTGTAAATTTTTGTTTCTAGGTATGATGCTGATCAAATCTCTGGTGATAAGGAAAAGTTTGCAAGGTAGGCGTGTTCTGTAGAGCTCTTCTGCTGAGAGAAAAGAGGGTCCAAAAAATCTCAGTACGTGTGCCTTAGCTTAGAGAGCCGGTTATTTTGTTTCTAGGTGGGACGATTATCAAAGTACTGCTGACACTGAAAGGATGGCCGGGTAGGAAAAAGGAAAATCAAATATGGTTTGCCCCCATTTTTATTTTCTGTGGTACCATTCTGACTGATCAAAAGTCAGGAGGGTTGGCTGATCCAGAGACTATTGAAATCAAAAATACTAACCCTGGACTTAAGTGGGTTTGGATCAGCTCCCACAGTCTCCCAAAATTTAATGTCCCTCCAAAATTTCCATACAAAACCAAAGTTAGAAATGACAGAATTAGGACATCATTCTGTATACATGTTTATGAAGGCCAGGATTCCTAGAGCAGACACTTTTGGAAGAGGAGCACTGCCCGTCTTTTTGTTTTAAGGGTTCAAATTTGAACTAGTTTCAGGAAAGTTTCAGGGTTTTGTTTCCTTGAACGTTTTCATGGCCAGTTGATTAACATACTATTACTTTTTAGCTTTTGTGATCATAAATGAAACGGACTGTTGGATACTCTTCTTCTCTTTCTTCTCAGGAACTTTTGCAATCTCTTTGTTTACTCCTTACAATGGTTGTTTTTAATGTTCAGGAGTATTTAAAATACTTTAGTGGCAGCCAATGGAATATGCATTTATAAATTTGAAGTATGTGTTGAATATGTGTGTTCCTTGTCTTTTTCTGTTCTTGATCACCATTTCTGTGAAAATGCTGAACATAGGGTAAGATTTCATCATGTAAAAATGCATTTTTCTTCTCCTTGTCCATATTTATCTGCGTGTGTATGCCGACATGTGCGCGTGTGTGCTCTTATGTACATGTGCACTGTCACACAAGCTGTTCTGCTTGTGTATGTGTATATGATCCAACTCCCACAGGCACTGTTCTCCTAGATATCCATGCAAACCCCCACAAAGGCTGTTTATCGTTCATCTGAAATGGAAAGGTTTGCTGTTGTGATGTAATAGATAATTAAGTAGTGACCTTAACCAAGGGACTGGCTGTAATTTACTGCATGGCCATGGGCTGTCGTTGCAGGGACCCATAGCTGGATTTCGTGAATATCAGACATTAAGCATAGGCATCAGTCGGAGTAAGTAACTCTGCATGTAGCCCTAATAGGTGGTATTTCTGGAGACAGTGCCTCATGCATATAATACCTATATGTGCAGGGGCAGGAGACGCACTGTAAAGCAGGGCAAGCCCATGCATTCCTCTGTTTCAGGAAGCAGTGTGCTACAATTCAGATTCTTTCCTGCATTTTAAGAAAAGGCTCCATTATAAAAAGTAGCCCAAAAGTGTGCCAATCCTAGCTTCTGCTTTCATGATCAGTCTGTGTAAAAGCTCCAAAGAATGTTGCAGTTTCTTTCAATGTTGTGTTGTCGTGCCATTCAATGCTGGTGGGCTCTCCAAGCGATCACCTTTAACATCTTGCCATACACAGCTCATTGAAATCAGTGGAAGATGCTGCTTTGACATCTGAAGCATCATGTACCTGTTGTGTACTTGTATTTAGGTACCACCTGACAGGTACAGTATGGGAAAAGTAAGTGCTAGACACTGAAGCATTCTAGGTCCATTGGACCATCCCAGATGTATGTATTCCTTAATAGTAATCAAGAAATGGTGATTTGCAGTCTGGGAAAACTGAAGTCCCAGACAGATCTTCAGTTCTGAAAGATCTGGGTTACTGTCCACTTTGAGAATTCTCAGATTTGACTCCCCACCACCTCAGGTATACGTTTGTTATACGGGGTGAGAACACTGGAGCTCAGCCCAAAGTGGGGCAGCATCAAGTACTGTTAGTGCTATTTCCCTGCTGCGCTAGATTGACCTCAGGCATAAATTCTGATCTGTGTCTGACAAGCCAGTTGTGTACTTGCTGTCTTACCTAGTCATTTTATTTGCTGGGGGTTTTTGTATGTGCTGTTACACCGTATATGATCTCGGTCTTGCAGTCCGATCCTGCACGTAGTGTTTCCCTACGGGGGTGCAGAACATTCCACGCAGTGCTCTAGGACTGGAGATCTCTGTATCGTTGAGTGGGGTTTTTTGTAAGTTAGCACTGGCCTGATGTAGCTGTGAGAGGTTTTCTCTAATAGAAGCCTTTTATAAGCAGATCCAACACCTTGAGCAAGGACTGGAAGCTATGCGATGCATCACATCTCTGGCAGATTTGGGAGTTTGGCTGGAGTTGGCAGTTGTCAGTTCCTCACATCTTTCTACTTCCCTTTTTTGTCCTTAAACCAAAGAAAATTAAACTGGTTACAAGATTAAGGCTGGAACCCAATAGCTAGAAATATGGGTTCTTTTCACAGCTATAGCCAAATCATATTTACCCTTCTGTGGCCTGGATTTTCTGTCTATAAACCGAGGGATAATAGGGCTTAGCCTTGTAAAGCACTTTGCTCTCGTGGGGTGAAACAGCGAAACAAGTGCAAAGTATCAGGATTCGTTAGCTCTGATTGCAATTCTTACGCTGATCGTGTCTGTTTTTCTGTTGGTTTGGTGTTTCTTTAAATGTTCAGGGAGAATCATAGTGAAATTGAGAGACGCAGGAGAAACAAGATGACGCAGTATATCACCGAACTGTCTGACATGGTACCCACGTGTAGCGCCTTGGCTCGGAAGCCTGACAAGCTAACAATTCTTCGGATGGCCGTTTCGCACATGAAATCAATGAGGGGCACAGGAAACAAATCTACTGATGGAGCTTACAAGCCTTCGTTTCTTACAGAACAGGTAGATTTTTCACAAATGTCTGTTTTCTCTGGTTTGTAATTGTAAAAGATGCGAGGAAATGCTGAGAGGAGTTGAGTCTCAGCTCGATCCTTCCCTGCTGTGTCGTGACTGGTACAAGCTGCATATCCAAGATGTGAATACAGGCCATTTTGTGAGACCGTTTGGACTTGAACTTAACTATATGACAAATCTTTCTCTCTGAAGCAGCAAAACGGACGTTCTTATCATTGAGGTCTGTCCATCTGAAAGGCAAGTCACTTGCTGTCTGTCGTCACTGGAAAGGAATTTTCACCTCCAGAACTGGGTGAACCATCCTAATATTCTCTAAAATAGGTAAAAATTAATCTGGAAAGACCTGCCTCTCCCTCCTGGTTTTAGAGGAAGGTTAAAAACACTGTTTAGTCTTAATGCCTAAGTTCCCAGCAGCTGAACTGGGCAGAGATGAGTCCCATCTGTACTGGCTGAGGTACTTCTTTGGTTACACTTTTGGTGGAGGAAGGAAGGTGAACCCAGTCCTTGAAGGAAAACTGCTTAACTGAGTGCACTGGAACTTCCTACCACCTTCACTGGTTTTGAAGTCCTATGGGTGTCATGTGCATTTTTGTGGTCAGAATGATTTAAGCACTTACATGTGTAAGTTATGGTTGGAGGCAATACTTGTTTCTGGTAGAGAAACCCAGCTGCTGCTGACCTCTCAGCGTTCCTGTCTCTACCGATTCTGGCTGCCTGAAGTGTTTCAAGAGGCACCGTGCCATTCAGCTGGGTGTTGCTAGGGGACCCTGGTCACTTCTTCTTGCAGTTTTTTGAATTTTTTGGACCTTGCAGAATCACAGAGTCTATCTTTCTCTTTGTTAATAATGTATGTGGAACAAGTCTCATTATCCGCTGACTAGTGCTGTGAGGTTTTTTGATCTAGTAAGTGGTTCAGAATTGATGTGCTTTATTAAGCAGCAGAACTTGAAAATGTGTCAGGTGTTTCTTGAGGTGAGCTATCCATTTCTTTAGTAGAATTTACCAGACTGTGGCCCTTACCTTATCAGCTAATATCTGCCACTTGCACACCAGCTGTACTGAGCTGTCTAACCTGGAATGGGACTCAGATTGTCCAGAGCTCCCTGACTGAGTTCCACATGCAGTAACCTTAACCAGATTTCATGGTCACTGAAGCCACCAGGCAAAGGTTGTTCAAGCTTGTTTCCTGGGAGTTGGAGTGGTAGTTGTCATCCTTCCCCATGAGAGGTTCTCAGGCTCTGCTAAGCAAAGGCAGCGTTTCTGTGTGAAGCATGCAAACAGCTATTTGAAGGTGTGATTCAAAATTGTGGGTGTCCAGACTCGATGTCTGAAAAGGGGAGACAGAAGTACCTTGCTTCGAAGGCCTACAGTCCCCCTTCAGTCCCCAGGTGGGGTCTGCCTCTCAGGTGGATGTGTGGGTGTCTCAGGACAGAAGTACCCAGGATGATGAACAGGGGACCGTGTAAAGAAAAGCCAAAGGTAGGGGTGTTCCAGAGCCTTTGGGTCTCTTGAGGCTTCGTAGTTGCAGGCTGGAAAAAGAAAGCAAGGAGTGATACAACCTTCTTGGGTACTGGTTCGGGCCCCTAGTGGGAGGGGAGGCTGGAGGTTCCCATTACACTTTCTGCCTTTTATCCAGTGACTGTTTAATTTACAAACAGACCTTATCCTGAGGGGAGAAAAAAACACCAACCCAAAACCAGAAAGGCTTGGTTTTTTTCCAGTTAATTTATTCAGACGTTTAATGAAGGGATGAGTTTACCGTATGAGTTATAGTTGTTCATTTCCTCTGTTTGTACTCTTAAATAACTTTATTTTTTTCACGTTAGATGCCTATCACACAATACACAGTGAGTTTTAGTTATTTAATTTTCCTAAAGTGCACTGAGATCACCAGGTGAAAGGCAATGAAGGCAAACAAAGTGTTGTTTGTTATTAAGATCAGCAATTTATGGCTTGCTGCAAGTTTGGTTGTGTTGTTATATCAATACTACAGTAAAAATTTCTGCCTAGTTTGTGATCAGCTACTGAGATTGGAAGAAAACAATATTCTTTGGCAATGATGGATGTGTTATTTAATTCCCTTTTCTGATGGCATTCTAATCAAATCCTTTCTTTGGAAGGAACTGAAACATCTTATCCTGGAGGCTGCAGATGGGTTCCTCTTTGTAGTTGCAGCTGAGACGGGGAGAGTGATCTACGTATCCGATTCTGTGACTCCTGTGCTGAACCAGCCACAGTCTGAATGGTTTGGCAGCACTTTGTACGAACAGGTTCATCCAGACGACGTGGAAAAGCTGCGAGAGCAACTATGTACATCCGAAAACTCTATGACAGGTCAGATATGTGTGATGTATGGTTCTGGGTGTTACAGATCCCTGCAGAGCTTTTCTGACATTCAAAATGCCTGGTTTAAAAATCTGGTAGAAATTAAACTCGGCAAGATTAAACTGCCTTTTTCTTGCAGGCAGTGCAGGAATATAAATCTTCTTTTGCATTACTATATTTTGCTTCCTATTTGACTTCAGTCAAACCACCTTCATGTAGCTCTGCATTCAAACTTCTGGCTTGGGTAGGCTTGGAATCTGTATTGTTTTCAGGATTGGTCTGGAAATTTAGATTGTTTTTTTTTCATCCTCAGTGAACTTGTGACTTCTTAACAAATACGTGTTTCTTTAGGGCAGTGTTTATTTTGAAGGCAAAAATCGTACTTCAGACTTTTCCATTTTCATAAAAGTTCCTTGTGGTTTGCTAACGGGAATCCTGAGGGGAAAAATCCAGTGTTTGGCAGCTGAAAATCTAATGGATTTTAAATGGGACACATGCACCCGTAACAGTGGTGTAAGTTAGCTGTAAGCTGACTACCAATCGTTTGCATGTAAAGCTAAACCATATTCATAGCTTCAGTATAACTCTGGCTTTTAGTTATTCATGCTCAAGACTGCCAATAGGAAACTACCCTTGTCTTTAATAGGATATGTGTGTGGTAGAGCTATGAGAATTAGCTAAAGCCTATTTTAACTCAAACTTGGAAAGCAGGAAGCCCAAATTCTGTCTTTAATCTTTCACATACTGTGTTTATAGCTGAAGGAAAAAAGCTAGGGGAAAATATTTATAACAAAGTCCTCCTGACCCATGCAAAAGTCATGCAAAATTTCTCCTTGCATTAGTGATTCAGAATTCTGACCTGGTTTGCTGGAAGTTTTCTTGTGTTTCATAACTCCGAGGACAGTGATCCAGTTTTGAGTGAACCTGCACACTGTTTACAGCTTCCATGTCAAAACAGTGCCAAATTCATGATTTCCTGTGGTTTGAATGTGATGTGGTTTTGGCAGAGCTTTCCTGTATTCAAATTGAAAACTCATAGCAAAATTCTGTGGTGAAAATCCGGATGGATCAAAACCAAGTGAACAGTTAGGGGAACCTGTGCAGAGCAAAACAGCTGAGCATCATACCACGAGACTTGCAAAAGAGCACAGCCTCTGTTTTTATTATGTAGCATGTAATACGTTTTAACGTACATACTGTCTTCCTCCAAGAAGCAACTGCTCCAGAGCCCCAGTGAATAGTCATGTTTCAACTTCCAAAAGTGCTCAGTTATGGGGCTTAACCTGCTCAGACTAGAGCAGGACCAGACAAATGCACTTCTGAAAAGCCAACTCTGTATTTTTTAGTTTTAACTGTGGGGTTTTCTTCTACACTGAACTCATCTGTAGCCAGCAGAAAGAGAAGTTCAAATAATAGTATTTATAGGGCTAAATCTTTTCCCTGCTTGAGACTTTTGGAGTTGTCAGATTGATGTGGAAGGCTCATAAATCTACTCATGGGCAGCTGAACATTTTCCCAGTGTGAGGAAAGCATCAGCCTGTTCAGAGCCAGGACAGCTGGCTTAGCTACAGTCCTTAAGGTGCAGAGGCAGGCTGGATGTAGAAAGGTGCTTTTTAGGGACTGGAGAGTGTGTGTAGTTCAAATGGTTCCAAGCCAGTGCAAGTAAGAACAGTGCATAACTGGTCCTAACTGTATGTGGCACGTTGTGCAAGTTTTCCTTTGCAAAGGTATTGAGGTTATATGAACAGCGCGTTTTTTTTGGCCAGCTGAACATCTCACAAGCCATAAGCACAGTCATCGATCTGCTTCTGGATCAAGCATAGACATATAGTTGTATGTACATCACCTTTCATAAGGTCATTGTAGAATAGGTTTTTAAGGTGTCTGCTGTATTTTTCTATCTTTTTATTAAAATCAGTGTAAAGCAAGTGACATCGTAACATAGTCCTGCTTTTTGAGTGCTTTTGTGATTGGTGAAGTACATTTAGTTAGTATACTAGTGGTTTTGTCAGCCTGAGGAGCGTATAGATAAACAGAAAGCTTTAAGTTTGTTATCTTAAACTTGCATTTCCTTGACCTTGTGTAAGGACTGTTGGTCAGTCCAGCATCAGTTTGCTTATAAACAGCATGCAGCAGCATCACTTGCAATCATTTGAGATACCTTTCTGGGAGCAAGGTGATTCTGGAGTCTGTTCAACCAGTTACACTTCCCTTCCTGGAACACAAGCCATATTTGAGAGTCACAGCTTTGTACTAGGTAGGAATAAAATGGAATATTGCTATGAACAGAAATAATGGTTGCCTTAGCGTCATTTTAAAAGAAGTCAAGTAGGCAAATGCAATTCCTTTAAGTCAGCGTCTATCGAACCTTTTGGGCAGCCCCCACATCTCTTCTGGCTTTCCAGAGTCATGTTTCTTGCAGAACAAAGGGCAATGCAGAACTTCAAAGCGATGCAAACCGCAAGCCAGCCAGCTACATTTGACATTTTACCTGCTCAAAGCGAAGTTCACTGCAGGCAGCAGGAAAATCCTCATCTTATAGTGTCCTCTGGCTGTTGAGAGCAGGATCTGCTTAGGGAAGAGAAGAGATTTGCAGGTGAAAGTGTAATGAAATGTTACTATTTTTAATTTTGCTCTCATCCTCATCTTCTCAGCGTCAGTTTTCTCAGCTATAACACTGTATCGTCAGGTCTCAGCTTCTGTAACCTCCTCCTTCAGCCCTTGAACTGGGGAAGCAATGACAGCGTCTTGACAAAGAAGGAACTTCACTTGCCTTGCATCAGATCAGAGCAATGTATTTGTTTGTCCTGTTAGAAGCGCTGATCGTTTGTGCTGCATTGCAGTTTTCCCAGAACCTCTTAGCAATCCTGCTACCCAGAGAAGCTGCTTCAGACCCACAAGACTTGGGAGGCTGCCACTGCCAAAGGGGAGCAACAGAGAACAAGTCGGTGGAGAAAGCAGGCTCCCTCTCACATTTCTGCCCCCAGGAACGAGACTGGGATTGAGGCTGTGGTTGCATGAGTGTTTCTTTGGCAGTCGCACCAGCTTATGCAATCCTCACCTCGTCTCACCCTCTGCTCCTTTGGCATTCATGTGGTACTACAGTGAGTCACGTCAAGGGGGCTGACCCAGCCGGAAGCTAAGCTAAGCTAAGCAAAAACCCCTTGGTTTTGGTAGAGACAGCTCTTTGGCCCACCTGATCATAGGATTGCGTGAACTCTTGTGCCAACACCAAAGAGAGCCGGGGAGTGAATAGTTAAGGGTAAGGAGAGGACAGGACTCCAGGAGCAGTAAAAGCATATGCCAAATTGAAGTGGCTGTTTAACTATGGCCTAAACCACGTACTGTGTTTGGGGAGTTAATTGCTTGCTCTATTTTTAACTCTCAGGATATGGGGAAGGATGGATAGTTTCTATTCCATTTTATATCCTTGGAGATTGTATTCCCTGGAAATGGAACAACTGTCTGCTTGTTTATTGTACTTTAATTGCTAACACATTGTAGCAACAGGAAAGCTGAACTGTGAAGTATATGTATGGTTTGAAATGCTGTAGAAAAGACAGCAGCTGAGACTTGATGATAGCAACAAATAGTGCTCCCAAAAAGTCTTTACATGCGTCATGAGCCTGATTAATCAGAGTGGGGCAGATATTCAGAGTAATAATTTGGTTGTCCTCTTTGCTCCTGGAAATCTGCAGGTGGGAAAAGAAATAATTTCAAATATGGATGAAGATCAGATTCCACAGTAGGACCCATTAGCCCTTAGGATGCTCTGATGAAACTTGGTGGATGTTGAGTTCAGATGCAGATCCAGAGTTGGAAGTTGTGACTTAACATGCAGCACGGTGGCATCCTAAAGCAAACAAGAGCCTCTAGACAGCTGCAGGCAGCAGATCTCTGATGGCACAGAGAACAGACAGAAATTAGATTTCAGTGCAATGGAAGAGAGCTTTTGAAGAATACCTCTGCTACATTTACACTCCACAAACAGACTGAGCAAGTATCCTTCCATTAGAATACAGTGTTCCAGAATACTTTGCCAGACTGAGATCTACCAGTTTAACTGTACATAAGCAGTTCATTGAAGAGTAGAATGAGGAATATAAGTACCTCTGTATGGTTGCCTGGAAATACTCCAAGTGGTGGAGAGTGTGGCAGAGTGGTGGAGAGTGGTGGCACACGTATCTCAGACCATGAGGTGTCTGAGATACGTGTGCCAAGGCTGTGAGGTCCCTGTTCCTGCAGCCAGCATCTCCAGTGCTGCAAATGGGAAACACCCTGCTTTATGGCATGCAATTCTGTGCTCCAAGCAGCACAGCACATAGTAACCCAGCTAGAACATCTTCCTTCAGCCTCAATCTCTCTAGCTAAGGCGAGGCAGGAAGCGATGTATATAATCCCATCCCTGGCACCAAGCCTCCTTGGGACACTCGGGATCAGGAGTCCTTGCAAGTTGTTTTAGCTGCGTGGTTAAGGGTGCTGAATCTGTGGACCTGTGACTGCAAGAGAATGATGAGAACCAGATCCTCTACAGCTTTCATTTTCAAGTGATTTAAAAACTACTAAGTCAATTTACTTGCTAGCTGAAAAAGATTAATTGAGGTTACTCCTGGGCAGAACATGTATGCCAAGTTTAATCTTGGCATGATATTTTATTGCCATATTTTATAAGTACAAAAAAGTATAATGTTATGATGGAAATGATGACTGACCACAGCAGAAGTTGAGCAGATAGGTACCTTTTTAGAAGAAAAGACCATTGTGTGACAATTCACTGTGGTTCATGAATGTTATGGAAACATCACTCCGTGTTACACAAGCAGAGATTTGGATTGGGGAGCCTGTCTCACGGAACCTTCAAATAATATGTTCTCTTGAAGTGATGGTTGCAGCATATGCGGTTTTCTGCCCAACTGCAAAGCTCTCCGTTACCAAGCACAGTTGTAGACAGAGCCACAAAATCCAGATGCAGCAGATAGAGTCAAATTGGCTGTAAAAATAAAAAAATA